TCTCCTTCTCATCCTCCTCCTCCTCGTCCTCGTCGTCCTCGTCGTCCTCGTCGTCCTCGTCGTCCTCGTCGTCGTCGCCGTCGTCCTCCACCTCCTCCTCCTCCTCCTCCTCCTCCTCCTCCGCCTCCTCCTCCTCCTCCTCCTCTTCCCCCCCCCTCGTCCCCCCCCCTCCTGCCCGCCACTCCTCCTCGTCATCCTCTTCCTCATCCTCCTCACAGTACCGTCCCTCCCCCCTCTCTCTCGCCCGTCCTCCTTGTTTCTTCTCCCCACTCACATTTTCGTCCGCCCCAAGCGTTACCCAGAGCATTATACGCGGCTCCTGGGAGCAAGTTACAGTAAATGACCCACGCCCAACAATCTTCAACAACTTTTTAATGGCCACATGAGCAACGCGCGAAGCGCAGTAAGCAACTTGCAGCGCACTAGGGATGGCCGTCGCTAGTTCACGGGTTTCCCGAACTTTCGGAACAGTTCCGAGCGCGTGGGCCTGAACCCTCGCGCGCCAAGCTTCTGGCGCTGGCGGCGCATCGGCGCAGCGGCCAGGCGTGGCCTTGCTGCTACAGCACCACCCATCGGTGGCCGCGTGCGCCCCAGGTTGCGAAAAAACACTCGCCGCGGCCGCCCGCAATTGTAATTTATTTTTCAGGCCAACAATTGTTTTCGTCTTCCTTCTCGCAATGATGGCACAGCCTCTCCGGATATTATCCGCCTTCGGGCTCGGTCTCCTGATGCTCTTCCTCTTCGTGCTGCGGAACAGACGTCATGCCGCTCGTTTCGGCCCTTCAGTTTGGTTAAGGCATCCGCTGGAGGTCATCTTTCCAGCGCCCTCATGCTTGCATGCGCTTCGCGCGCAAGCGTGAAACTGGTAAGACAGCACCGTGGTAGGTCAAAGCGTCCTTGTCGAAGGCAACCTGTGGTACGTCAGAACCGCGAACGGCGTACGTCTTAATGGATCTACGATCCCCGAAGTCGCAAGCCCCATCGCAAGTCTTGCATATCGCTGCCTCCTGCAACTCGTACATTGCTTGATGTGTCCTGTGTGGATCCGATTGTACCCGTCTGCCCACGCACGATCGGATTCGTCAACGATATGGGAACACTTCCCCATGTTGTGGCACACGCGCCCGGCATTGCAACTCTATTTTGCGCTATTTCCCCGCTCGCCTCGATGGTCGCGACATAGGCGCGAACCATTCCATCAACCAGAAACTCCCAGGAATGCGGTCGGGATGCCAAGGATGCATGACCTCGGTCCCCGAAGCTCGCCCCCATCAACCTGAAGCCGTGATGGTCGTCCGCGCAGCTCTTGAGCAGGGCGCCGGCGGTGCATGCAGCAGGTCGGCCCGTGTTCCGCGTCCTCCTCGGCGGGTGGCCACAGCCTCGACTGGGCAGACCGCTATGCGCGAGCAGGCTCTGGCCAAAAAGGGAGCGGAGGATAAAGATGACGACATGGGTCGACTGGGCCTGATCGCGGCGTCACGTCCGCGGGCGTTCCCCGAACGTCGTCTACGCTGCTGCGGGGAACAAGCTCAAAAGGAAGACTCAGCAGGCGAGTTGGCAGCGGTCCGGGGGTCGCGGGAACAAATGCCCTCGGGGATCTGCACTGATTACCAGCCTCGAACGTATCCCTATCCCTAAGATTGACACGCCAAAAGGCGATGACAATCTCATGGATTCGCCCTCAAAAAAAAAGTGAAACCCTAAGATTGGCATCGTGATGAGGGGATGCCCAGCATAGGGATAGGGATATGCTCCAGGCTGGTAAGCAGTGGCTCCCAGGGCGGCGACGATGGCCTCCGCCCCCAGGCGGCCCGAGATGCACCCACGATGACGGCACGAGAGGGTCCCACGAGACGGCCCACGACGGCCCGGGAGGCCCCGCCACGCGCGGATCCCCGGCCACGCAGCACGCCCCCCGCAAAAACTCGGCGCGGCCTTGGCCGCGGCCTGTGGCGGTGGTGGTGTGCGAGCACATCCACTAAGGCCCTCGGTGGCGCCCCCTGTGAAACAACGAGCCGTGTGAGGGGTGTGCCGAAACGGGCGCGGTGGTGCCATGCGCGCGCAGCCACTGGTGCCTTAGGTGGAGCTCCCTGTGGGACCACGAAATGCGCGAGTGGTGTGCGGAAATGGGTGCGGAGGTGCGAGCGGAGAAACTGAGACCCCCGGTGGACCTCCCACATGGGGACGCGAAGCGCGTGAGGGGTGTGCCGCAGTGGGCGCGGTGGTGCCATGCGAGCGCAACCACTGGGGCCTTTGGTGGAGCTCCCTATGGGGCCACAAAACGCATGCGGGGTGTGCCGAAACGGGTGCGACGGTGCCATTCGAGTGCAGCCACTAGGGCAATCGGTGGAGCTCCCTATGGGGCCACGAAACGTGTGAGGGGTGTGCCGACATGCTTGGCATGCGGAGGGCTGAGGCAGTAGTTTGAGGAGGGATGAAGAGGAAAGAGGAGGGAGTGAGGAACGCGGGGCGTTCTCTCTTCAAAACGAAGGCCCAACACCACAGGATGGCTGGAACAACTAAGGCTCAAGATGCGCAAGATGGCTCCCAAGTTGGCTCCGAGACGTTCAAGATGACTCCTGGCATTATCCACCTCGAAGACGCTCAAGATGGCGCCCAATATGGCCTCCACGACGGCCAGAATGTCCCAAGATAGTCCCCAAGACGGTAGATATGGCCACAAGAGGGCACAATATGCTACAAAGACGGCCCAATATGACTCCAAGACAGCACAATATGACCTCCAATCGGCCGAAGAGAGCTCCCAGAGGACATCTACCATCGATGTTCCGCTGGTGTTCTATCGCGTTCACGCCTTTTCGACCTTCCGGCAGCCGAAGGCGACCCCGAAGGCCTCCAAGATAACAGACGGGCAGAGAGGCCCCACGACGGCCCAAAACGCCCCCAAGATGGCATCACATACCTTCGAGACAGCCATACATCGCCTCAAGAGGGCCCCGAGACGACCCAGTGAGGCCTCCAAGACGGCCTCCGAAGTTCAAGAGGCTCCTTAGAAGCCCTGGCAGGCACCCAAGAGGCCTCTCAAATCAGAATGCCTCCGAGGGGGCCCATCAGAGGCCTCCAAATGGCCCAAAGAGGCCTCCTCCTCCTCCTCCTCCTGACGCCCACTTGGTCGAGCCGCAGGGAGGGTCGTGCTCAAATCCCGTGCGTGTCCACCCCGTTGCCCTCAAAGTCACGGACACCGCACGGTCGTGCTCGATTGCTCGAACGGTTCGTTTCTTTGTGTTTGCCACAGGTGCGGTTATCACACGTCGGGGGGCCGTGTGGCTACCCCCGGCAAGCAATGCGCAACCCAACAAAGTCGTCTGGCAGAACAATACATGAGCGGAGATGAAGCAGCGGCTCCATCCCAAAAAGCCTGGGACCACCCCTCGACCTCGACACGTTTGTCATGCTTGAACTCTCATGATTTTTGCAGATGTTCAATTGTGCGACTCACGTGAAGTGCGGGGCAGGCTGGCTCGCCACCAGTTTGCCAACACCAGTGGGCTGGAGGAGGACCAACCTCAAACCAAAATTTCCTTCTCCTCCCCCTCCTCCTCTCGTCCTCCCCCAAGTGTTCCTCCAAGGGAGCCCACAACGGCTGAAACACATTGTTCAATAGTTTGGCCAGACATCGGCCCAACGTTTGGCCACATAGGCGTTTCCACAAAGGCAAGGGGCGGCTGTGGTTCGACTACTATTAAGCGTCTTCGATCCTTCGGCTGCTATTAGCACTGGTGCGACTACCGAGATCGATTGGGCTCGTACAGCTGATGGTGATAGTTGGAACGTCAGTGATGTCTCCACTGATTGAACTGCCAAACATTTTGTTCTAATCGCATGAGTGCATGCAAGGACGCTACTGATACTGATAGTGTCGTCACGATGTTCACAAGTCATGCTGCAACCAGCGTTACGGTCACTGAGACGGCTGGTAACACTGCCTCTATGAGTCCCACTGCACAGGCTGTATTGATGATGGCATTGATGTAGCTTCTAGTGATGTGCTTACAAACTCCCGGACGCACTGCTGCAACGATCGATACCCGGCCACTGTTTGCATTAAATGGTGAAAAGCCTCGGAGGAGGGCGAGTTGCGACAGCGGCAGCTCAAAATCGGTCCCCGGACCCCTCCCAGGATCCAAACGTACAAAGTGTCCTGGCTGCGCTCAGCTTTGGCGACGAGGGCCCCCCCGAAGGCCAACTCCTGTCGTCTCATCTCGCCCTCACCTGAGTCTGGGAGCGCAGACTCTCAGACGGCAGAAGGGTCGCCCTCGCTCCATGCGATTTCGGACGGCCACGCATGGGGTAGCGACCCTGGGTGCGCAAGGCCTCCCAGCCAAGGAGAGAGAGAGGAGAGTGGAGTAAGGGAAAGAGGGGAGAGAGGGCCGGAGGAGTACGGGAAAGAGGGAAATAAGGGAAAGAGGAGTAAGAAAAGAGGAGGAGGAGGAGGAGGAGGAGGAGGAGGAGGAGGAGGAGGAGGAGGAGGAGGAGGAGGAGAGAGAGGAGTGAAGTAAGGAGAGAGAGGAGTGAAGTAAGGAGAGAGAGAGGAGTGGAGTAAGGGAAAGAGGGGACGGCAGCGAGCCCGCGCGCGGGAGAGCGAGAGGGACCCAGGACATGCCCGCGTCGTGACTGACATCGCGCGGGGAAGATGCTGGTCATTTTCTTCGGCCTCCGGAGGCCCTCGCCAGGCCTCGGGACCACCACAAAACGACTCGGGACGAAAAACTGGCCCCGGGGAGAGGGTGGGGACTCATGGGCACGGCGCACTGGAAAAGTCCAGACGCCGCATGTCTAGGGAGGGAGGGAGGGACGAGCAGGTGGAGGCAGAGCGAGCGAGGTGGGGCGGAGGTGGCAGGCGGGCACCTCGAACCCTGGACCCTTCGAGCGCCGAGGCCGCAGGGCACTGGCGGCTCACGCACGGTGCAGCACGCGCAGCGCGGGCAAGCTCCGCGGGGACAGCGAGAGGCGAGACCGAAGAGGGGGGGCGGGGCCACCGAAAAGCATCCCGAGCGCTCCGCCGTCGTCCTTGGGCGGCCTCCATCCCTTCTGCTTGCCCTTCCCCATAGCACCTGCCCTCAGCCCATTGGGGACGAGTTGAGCCTGAGGAGGACGACGACGACCACGGCGGCAACCAGCTGGATGCAGAAGAGAGCCAATCGTTATCACCATGAGGGGGAAAAGGTTCTGGTGGAAACGGGGTCTGGGCCCCAACTTTTCTGAGATCAGTCGTTCCATCCCGAGCCGTCTTCTGATCGACCCCAGGCCATGGAAGGACCCCGAAATCCGAAAACGGCCCACAACCTCCAGAACTTTACATGTTCGACCATGGTCCCCTTGTTACCCCACCGTTTTCGGCGATCTTCGGCGGTCTTCGAACAGTCTTCGGCGGTCCTCTGACGGTCTTTGGTGGACTGCGACGGTCGTCGATGACCGAATCTACAATACACGTTTCCTCCTGGATAATTTTTCTTCATTCGGGAAGGCGTTGCGCTGACAAGGGCCAGCGCTGACCGGCTCGGCCGAGAGGCCACGCCGCGAACCCCCGAGGCCGACCGAGAATGGGGGGGGAGCTCCGCGCCTCCCCTGAACCTGCGCCAGCCAGGAGGCACCAGAGAGGAGTGGCGGAGCCCCGCCAGCGCTGACTCCGTCGCGTGCGCCCCGATCCCGATCAGGAGTCCCCGGGCCCTTCTTGGGGTCCATCGTGGCAACTTGTCGCCCTGGATGGATGTCGTGTTATGTCTGGTTGCCCCAACATTACGTTGCAGACCTTCCCGGTCCAAAGTGTACAAAAACCAAATTCGAGCCGCTAGCCAAATCTTCGATTCATGCTGATCCTGATTGCATCAATCCGGCAACCCCTTAGGATCCGACAGCTGCTGCTGTTGGGCAAGCGAATGTCTATTTCAACTGGACACCGTCCGCAGCGACACCGACAACGACTCACGCTGAAAATGGGCAGGAACTGCTGTCGATCTTCGTCCCCATTCTTTGCGCACCCATTCCCAGACATGCAAAGTCCTGACTTTGTCAATACGCGGCCCCCACAAGTCCCGACCCCTTCCCCAGGGCCAGCTTTTCGTCCCGAGTCGTGTTTGTATGTCACAGGGCCCGGAGATGGCCTTTTCAAGCTGAGATTTGCCCAGAATCTCTGTCGTGTTTTTTCGCGATGCGAGCATGTCTGGATCCAAAGCGGCCCCACAACCTACCCCAGCACCCGACGAAAGGTTCTTCAACAGAGCATGCTCAGGATGCGAGTACCGGCAGGGCTATCGCGCCCAATACGTTCCCGAAACAACATACAGGCCCCCACAGGCCCACGCAGGACTCCGATGAACCTTTTTCCCAGGGAGGCTCGATGTCCTCACCCGGGAGGAAAGAACTGGAGTTAATAGGAGGAGGAGGAGGAGGAGGAGGAGGAGGAGGAGGAGGAGGAGGAGGAGGAGGAGGAGGAGGAGGGGGGGGAGGGGGAGGAGCAAGAAAAGGAGGAGGAGGAACAGGAGGAGGAAGAGGAGGAGGAGGAGGAAGGGGTGGAGAGGGAGGAGGAAGAGGGGAGGCCGGGCGATCCGCATAAGGGGGTGGTCGTCCAACTTCAGCTGTGAGACGAGAAATGTTCCCCTGTGCGAGTAGTACGCAGCAAAAACCCGACAGCCCTTCGAAATCGTATCGAAGCCCTTGCTGGGGCCTGCGCAAGGGCGGATCACGCGGCCTTCCCTCCGCACCCCCCCCTCCGCCCGTCTCCACCACAGGCTAGCGTGCGGCCCTTTCGCACGGAGCCCTGTTTACCAGTCAGCACCTCTCCGATGAAACCAAGGGGCGCGGCGCCGCTGGCACTGCGGTGCCAATGGCGCGTGCGAGCGGGCCTGCACAATAAGGAGGGATCCCTGAGCCCCTCCTTAATTCGCGAGCGAAATTCCGATCCGTATCCTGCGGGGAAGAGGACCGAGGACAAGAGACTACGAGACGAAAAGGGGGGAAACACTGGGCGAGAAGGCCGGCACTCCGAGATGCCCTCGCTACTGCGTGCGGCTCCCCCATTCGAGGCTGATTCCGTATTCTCCTCCGCGCCAAACGCGCGCAATTGATCACCTGTGCTGTCCCATTCTGAAAAAGCGTAATTCCGCGGGGTAGCAGTTGTGCACGTGTCTCCCATGCTGGCAAGAACTCCAATGCTGTCCCATTCCGAAAAAAGCGAATTCCACTTCTGGGAAAGTGCAAACTGCGCCGCTGGAAGCCAATTGGTGCCGCATCTCTTCCGCAGAAAAAGCATGGCCACTGTTGTCCCACATTTTGTGATAGATGTTTCCAAAGTGTGTTCTGTGCGCTTCTCATTGAAGTAAACCTCCTTTCTTCGTCCATCTTTCCGCGCGAGTTCATCCGATGTCTCCGAAAGGTCCTTCGCCTCAGAGATTGTTTCTTCCTTTACTTCGAACAGCCTTCCTTCTCCTGGATCTGGCGGCGCGCCCACCGGATTCCAAATGGGCTTTCGAGGTTCACCACTGGCAGAAGCCAATGACCTCCGAGCCCCGGGGCCTCCAAGTTCCCTCTCTGTCGCCTGCTTTCGTCTGCGCCGCGGCCACGAGGCTCTGTCTGCGCGTCTGGTGCTGCCGCGTTTCGACTCGGCGCCTCCCGAAGTGACTCGAGTGCAGCGGCGCCCTGCAGGGGGGAGCAAGTGACCAAGGCTGTCCAGCCTCGGACAGTCGTCCTCCAGTTCTGCTCGCCGGCGAACAAACGAATGCGAAGCAGGGCCAATCGGCCAATCGGGTTCCACTGGCGGAACTGATTTTCCATTTCCTGTGACAACGTTTCCCGTCAGGAGGATCCGCTAGTAGTTGAGGCGGGCTGCTCCTGGGCCCGTGTGGGCGCAGGCGCTGAGGGGAACCGAGGCGGCTCTGCAAACTCCCCTGGCAGCTCTTTCCCCTGGGCCCCACAGGACGCACGGGGAGGGGGGAGCCGAGCAAACTCTACAAACTCCCCCGCTGTCATATGTCCTCTCCTTTCGCGTACCTTGCTGCAGTTCGCCTCGATGTCTGTTTCCTGGACTTGAGCAGCGCCTTTCACACATTGCAATTATGGCAAGCTGGCATTTCAGAGCGTGGGTGCGGCGGGCCCGTTCTCTGCGTATTTGGCTCGTCGTTTTAAAACGTCAGAACCCAATCTTCCAATACTTGGAACGATGCGGCACAGCAAAATCTATCACCGGTTCACGACCCAACCACTCTGGGAATGGTCGTAAAAAAGGTACGGTATCGGAAAAGCTGCAGACATTGTTCTGATTGTTGTTCTCCTTCTCCCCCTTTGGCCCCGGCAGAGCAACCTGTGTGGCTGTCAGAATCCGTAAGTCACGTGAGTGCGTGAATCAGTGGAAACCCTCCCTCCGTCGGGGCTCAAAGTGTCTGAGCTCCAACGCCGACTGGGAGGAGGAGGAGGAGGAGAAGGAGGAGGAGGAGGAGGAGGAGGAGGAAGAGGAGTACACGGCCCCCAAGAGAGAGAGAGAGAGAGAGAGAGAGAGAGAGAGAAAGAGAGAGAGAGAGAGAGAAAAAGAGAGAGAGAGAGAGAGACGAAGAGCGGACAAGGCGCGATACGAGGGCAAAAACGAGAGAGAGAAGAAAGAGAGTCGGATGGTCAGCAGCGGCTACCCAGGCTGACGTTGCACCCCTTGGAGGCGACCGCCACGCCTCACAGTACTACGCAACCACGCACTGATCAGCCTATACGTGTCGCACTCCCCGAGCACACTACGAGATTTCATCGTGTGGCAGACATGAAGCACAAAGACAAAGGTAAGAGCAGAAGCGAGCGGCAGCAAGGCAGAGAGCAGGAAAAGGGGAAAAACGAAAGGAGGAGCAAGCAAGGACAGGCGGCGGGTGCACAATACTAGGCCATCATCGTCGCCCTCGCAGGTCGAGGGAGTGAAAAATCTGATCCTGAAAGCAAGAGCGGAGCGGCAAGATTTGCAAATGCGCCATTGCTAAGGAAGATCAGTTTTTCGTTGCAGCTGCTCATCGCGGAATTGATGTGCCCGCGGGGTCCCAGAGAAGCGCTTGCAATTTTCCTTGAGCTGCTGCGTCATGGACAGGCGGAACATTGCGGGCGGGCGCATGGCCAGTAGCGTATCTCTGCACACTCCCTCTTTCTCCATCAGCGTGCACCTGGCGCGAGATGCGCTTGAGGTAAGTAAACGCATGGTCTTCTGAATACAGACCATTGATACGTTCAGCACCGCATGGGGCGCGGTGCGAATGTCAAACAGGTTGTGTCCCAACCTGTCTGCACCTAACTGGCACCGCCACGGAATCGCTCGAATTACCATGTCGGGAGTATTGGTCAGCATATCATGTCCGAGGATAACGTCACGCTGGGGCTCGTGGCATACTTCTTGACAGAAAAGACTAACGGGGCGATTGATGTCGATGGCAAAGATACTGCGGACGGTGTTGCTGAGGCAGAGGGAGCGGGTGACGTCGGGGAGGCGCCGCGCACTTTCGTCAACGGAATCAAGGGTCACTTTGATGAGGAAGACGCACAGGGAGTGGAGGTAGCTGTCGGGGGGCTTTCCGAAATTGACGATGTCAACGTACGGCCCAAAAAACACCTGGATAGCCGTTGGACCTGCGCGGGCCCGCGCCGGGCAGGGCGGATCCTCCGGGCCAGAACCTGCGTCATGCAGTCGACGGAACATTTCCACTAATTCAAGCTCCTCGGGTTTCCAGACCACGACTCGAGGCACAGGCTGGATGAAAGGCTTGATAACTCGCCGAGCATCGACGCGAAGTATACCTTTGAATTCGGGCGCGCGCTGATGGACACCCTGGGAGAGACCAGCTTCACCTATCTCCTCGATCACTTCGGCCACATGTTGAGGGGAGAGAGAGAGAGAGAGAGAGAGAGAGAGAGAGAGAGAGAGAGAGCATGTCCCTAGTAACCGGCCTCGGGAACCAAGGGGCCTCGGGAGGCGAAGCGGCATCCAGGAGATGGCGACGGAGACAAGGTCCGAGGGGTCCAAGGGGTCAGGAGCGGAACCGAGCGAACAACACCGAGGGTTCAGGTCCAGGATGCGAGCGGAAAACCG